TCGTAATAGATAACTCACTGAAAATGTCGAGACAGTGTGCGACTGCAATAAAAAAGGCCAATGCTATGCTGGGGATTATTAGGAAGGGAATTGAAAACAAATCAGCCAGTATAATAATGCCCCTGTATAAATCAATGGTGCGACCTCATTTGGAATACTGTGTACAGTTCTGGTCACCACACCTCAAAAAAGATATTATAGATTTGGAAAAAGTGCAGAAAAGGGCAACTAGCATGATAAAAGGGTTGGGCAGGAAAATGCGGGGGGGAAGCGTGGCTGTTTGCCCTGGGGCAAAATAACGCGCGGTTGTGCGAGCAGACATCCTGTGGAGGTCCCGTGGTAGGGGGGAGGTGCCGATCACACCACAATCCTGCGGCACGGCAAAGAAGCGGCGCGCCGCGGCAAATGGGTGGGTTTTTTTCTGTACACCGACGTGTGCGCATGCCCCGTTGGGTTTTGTGCGCATCCCGAGGACACTTGAGAAAAAAAACCCTTTTTGCGAGGGGACATGGGCGGGCGCCGGATGCCATGGGATTGTACCGGAAACGCGATCACGCGCCCGCCCTTGCCCCGCAGTTTCCGGAAACTAGTACCTCCAAGGTACTAGTTTTTTACCGTGCATCTTCGGAGTGAAGCCTCAGGTGAGCTACGGGAGCTCTACGCTTCCCAGATGTGGCGGTGAGATCGCGCCCGGAAAATCCGCCTATCTTCCGTCTCTCTAGCATGCCTACTGCTCCATGTGACCGCAGCCTTGGAACACTTTCCCTATGAAGAAAGGTTAAAGCGCTTGGGGCTCTTTAGCTTGGAGAAACGATGACTGAGGGTTGACATGATCGAGGTTTACAAGATTATGGATGGGACAGAGCAGGTAGAGAAAGAAGTACTCTGGGGAAAAGAGACTTGTTCTTCCCAATATAGGCCTCTTAGGGGTTGTCTACACATTTTCTAAAGATATGTATACGATGACACTCTGCTTTGTCAAGCTGGATCTAATGATTTCCTCTCTAAGTCAGTGGCGGACAAACTTCTCAGCCTAAGGACTGCTTTTAGGTCTTCAGTACTGGATACAGGGAAGAGCCAGCATCAAACTTGGAACTTTAAAAGTTGCTACTCTTAATGGCAGTTGGCCCTCAGTCTAAAAACTGAGGCAGGGCTGCAGTCTGCCAATGCTCCAGACATATTGTTGAGCTACAGGGGGGGGGGGGAGATGAAAAGTTCTTGCAGGCTATCTGTATGTAAGCATAGGCTGTAATTTGCTCACCTCTGTTAGAAGTCTTAGTGGAAGGAAGTCACTGGATCTAACCTATTTGTTATTTAATAGTCTTTTAGTGGTTATTAACACATCTAGATACTATATATACTATATATACCCTGAGCCAAGGATGAGAACAGGAGGAGGAGGAGATTGGATTTATACCCTGCCCTTCACTCAGAGTGGCTTACAATCTCCTTCCCTTCCCTTCTTCTTCCCACAACAGACACCCTGTGTGGTAGGTGGGGCTGAGAGAGCTCTTTTGAGAACTGCTCTTGAGAGAACAGCACTGAGAGAACTGTGGTTTGCCCAAGGCTACCCATTAGCTTCATGTGGAGGCGTGGGGAATCAAACCCAGTTCTCCCAGATTAGAGTCCATGCTCCTAACCACTACATAAAACTGGCTCTCAACAAACTGATGAACTAAACCTAGAATTCATGCAATTTTACATACAGAGCAGCTTCAATATTTGCACTGTGCATATCATCGTTCCAGGTATATTCAAACTATCCTTGTTATCTCTTTGGAGATGTTTTCTCCAGAAAAAGAAATTAAAACATTGTAAATACATTTCCATCCCACTGACTTTGCTGAAAGTTTCCTGTTTCTACAATGCATGAGGAATTATTGAAGTAGGTTTGCAGAAAGGTCCATAAATTCTTGTTCAGTCTTTTTCTCCAGCTACCAAGTGACACAATCTAAGTACTCCAAGGCAGCTATTCTTGACTTTGCAGAAATTCATGCTAGCTGAAAATACGTAGATTGTCATAGAACTTCCTTCAAAGGACAGCAAATCAGTTACCACTCCACTGCCACAGGCGTTGTGCAGGATATATATATCCTGCTTCCAAAATCAAATATGTAACTGCAGTGCAGTTAGTACTTATAATCCAGAGGAATGTTTATATTTGAAAGATAATGGATCTCCTAGCTGTAAACCATTTTGTTAGCACCTCTGTTGTCTAATTCAACAAGTCTGTACACATGCCCATTGTAGTAAAGAAAAAAAATGTTCCTACAGTGGCATACCATTTAATTACCCATAATAATAAAAAACTTCATACCATATTTTGAATTGTAAGCCTGGGAACTTGACAGAAAGATAAACAGTATGTTTGCCAAGTTCCGTTTGTAGACTCCCATTACAGTAGGGTCCATTGTTTAAAATGAAATGCCAAAATATATTCATTACTTGTTCTGCATTGATGGCCCTAAGTTGTTTTTGCATTACACAAATTCTGGCTTTATCTGTTGTTAATCATTGTATACAGAGAGCTTTCTAGGGGGGAAAGTTGGTGCTTTTCTGCCTCAAATCTTGTGGCAGTTCAGCTATTGTATCTGAAGTGTGATGTGAATTGGTGGCAATGCAGACCTTTGTTACACTCGTGCGGCACTCTCTGCACAATACCCTGATTGAGTGGGAGCCATTTGCAGCTCAGATGTCTATGATCTGTGACCTAAAAACAGCTCTAATTAAGTCTGACACAGTAGCGTATTAGCTTGCTTGAAAGCCACTGCAATCTATTCACATTAGCCCCTTTTTTTCCCTCGATAAAACAGTCCACCTCTATAAGCTGGCAAGGCTTCAGCTCCAGTCCATTTAGCTGGCTGCAGATCTAACATAGATTGGGATGAAAATAATTGTGTATGGGGTTTTAGAACACGGTAAACAGTGGGTGGAAACAGAGCAGTATCCGCAGTCCATTATGGAATGCAGCACTCATTGTTTATAAAACCACCAGCTGCTCCGAGCAAACTTCAGCTTTATCTCTAAACATATCATTAGAGGAACTTCTGAGCCTCCATCTTGTGGCTTGCGCAAGTGGAACAGGAAGAATATATCTAGCAAGCCAGACTGCGACCATGATATGCTAATATGCACTGCTGACAAGCCTCCACTAGGGCTGCCAACCTCCTGGTGAGGCCTGGAGATCTCCTACTATTACATTTGATCTCCAGATAACGAACATCAGTTCCCCTGGAGAAAATGGGTGCTTTGGAGGGTGGACTCTACGGCTTTATACCCTGCTGAGGTCCCTCCCCTCCCCAAGCCCCACCCTTCCCAGGCTCCACCCCCCGAAATTATTGAGATGTATGTCAGAGTGATAGAGGTAGCAAGCAGTTACTATAGATCAGTTTGATCTGTTTGTCAGACCTAGCTGTCATGCTAGTAATCATGTCATTACAGCCAGGTGTTTTCTAGCAGGTGTTGCTCTTTCAGGGCTTGTTAAAGTTAGTGATTACATCACCCTGTTAGAGATTGGCTGGGGTTTAGCATAATAGCTATCAGTTTAGTAAGCTGGAGGGGGACTCAGTTCTCATAGACTAAGGCACAACATGCTGTTCAATAGCATGTAAATATCTCTGTATATATTCACCTTTATAACTATATAAACTCTCTGTGCACCTTCATAATTGGTAAGTCTCCCGCTTCTTATTTACAACACCCAATAGAAATCTCCAGGTATTTCCGAACCCAGAGCTGGCAACCCTCGCCTCCACACACGCAACTCGGATTTCCTTACAGCCGACAAAGAACAAGCAATACGAAGAGCATTCAGTGGTGCCAGTCAGAAGCACCTGGGCTTGGACCCCTGTGCCCTTGGGCTCCTGGTGCCCTTCTCTCTAGGGGCTGCAGAGGCCTTCCTCTGACAGGAGGCACCTGGAGAAACACTGCTGGAGCCTGCGGGCACCTTTAGAATTCAGACAACATGTGGTGGGCGCAGCCACAAAATGGCTACCACAGGAGGGGCAGCCAGCCACAAAACAGCTGCCACGGCTCACCTTCCATCACAGAGCAAAGATCCTCATGCTGTGGTGGCGTGTACCATGTGCACGCTATGCACCTGAAGTGCCCAGTGTTCCAGCTTTACAGGCTAACAGAGAACCTTCCCGTGAAGTTTCATCCCAAGTCCCATTGGACAGTCTCTCCTCAAGGCCATTTCAAGGCACAGGGGGGACCTGGTCTGCCAGATCAGGTGCAAGTTCAGAAGTCTTACATGGTTCAGTTACCAATGCCTGAAAACTGGATGTTCCTTGCAGGCTGGCGAAACACGTGTGACTCTGTTCTTAGGCTGGATCTACATATAATAGAACAAAGTGGGAGAGGCTTAAGAATGGACTGTATTACTGACTGCAAGTGAGGATTTCCCCCCCTATATAAAAACCCTGCAAGTAAAACAAAAACAAAAAACTAGCACAGCAAAGGAGGGAGGATGGATGTAGGGAGGTTTTAGATGAGGGAAGCATTAAAAACAGTATCCTGCTTGCAGTCTGACGAGCCTCATGAAGACTTCCGCATTATTAATCTGTACGCATCAATCTGCTTTTTAATAGAGCATCTCTCTGTACAAAGAGAAGGGAAGGGGGGGGAATGCAAGCATGCTGCATAAACAACTGCCAACCAATTCTTGTTCCACCCTCTTCTAAAACCATTCAACCAAAGTAAAGGGTAGTACTGGTTTCCTTAGCTTCCCGTGTTATGAAGGCCAAGGAAGAAAGGGCTGGAGATATTAATCTGAAGAGAAAGGTCAACCTGAAGCAACATCTTGCCTACATGATTCTCTTGCCAGCTGACTGCATGAAACATGCCTCTTGGCAGTGAGGTGAATTAGTACCTTGTGACTGAGGATTATGTTCCCATAGGAGGAACTGCCCCACATTCCAGTTGACAAAAGGGAAGGTGTCCACACGGGCTTTTTTATGTCAAAACCATCTTTATTAAAGAAGAGTGTCACAATAGGCTCAAGAACATGGGTGTATGAAACCAGCTGTGATGAAAAGTGCTTGGAGTGGAAACTGCAATGACTGTAAATGCACATCCTGGCAAAGGCAATGCCCACCTGTTCTCTAACTGCCGAAACTGTTGGCACAACGGAACGCACTAGAAGGATGTCGTCCGCAATGCTGTTGGCCTAATAATTTAAAGTTAGAGAATGAGCGTGGCTGATTCATGGACTCAGATATAATTCTCTTAACGGTTAGACCCAAAGTATCGATTTTTTCACTACGGATGCTAAAAGAAGTGTACTTTACATTTTCACACTGCAGCAGCATGCTGCATACTACTTTATATACAATTGATTCATGCAGCTTTTCCCATTACATTATTTTGTTTTCTGATTTACACAAATATAAAAAATAGGTTTGTCATTTATATGTTGCTCTTGTATTAGCTGTGAACTCCCCTCAGCCATGAGCTGGTCTACAGCAGCACATTAATCTGGACAGCAATCTCCCCAAAACGGAAGCCCCCATCAGTACATCCACAGACATAAAAAGGTGCAGCTTCTTTATACAAAACAAGAGCAAGGAACCATTACCTATAGAAAGGGGAGGGTCAATCCCTTTGATTTTATTAGAATGGCACAGATGTGAGAAGTTGTACAACAGCACACGGATCTCCTTCTATAAATCCTCTACAGCCCCCAGAACAGTGTTGATGGAGGGTGAAGGCAGGCAGCTCAAGCATTGAGCAATTCGTGTTCTTTATCTGTTTTCCCAACAGCATCGGGGTTGGACAAGGGGTCCAGGTCAGCAAAGAGGCTAAACCAGGCAGTTAAATCTTTAGAGGTACTTGCAGCTTCTGCAAAATAAAACACAATCCCCACCAAGTCAGGTTTCTGCTGAAGAATGGGTACATCTTTCACCTCCCAGGAGATACATTTTAGCATGCTGGTGATAACAGGGAAAAAGAAGCGTCGGGACATGTCACAAAAATCTTATTCTCTCTGTCTTGTGCGCCACCCCCAAAAGTGATTCATGCTCATCTTAACTAGTCTGTTCCTCACAGGCCAGGAGCATATCAATGGTCCTAGCACGTGCTGCTTTCTTGGGGGGGGTGGTGGTGCTAAAAAGGCCATCAGGTGGTGAGATCAGGAATGGCAAAAGCTGGCAAGGCCGCAGAGTGGGGTCCACGCTGCCTGCAGGCAGAGGTGTTTCAGTTCAGACTGCCAACTGGAAAGGGGAAGTGGTTGAGTCAAAACAAAGAAGGGTCTCCTGATGATCAAGTGGAGGTTTGTGGCCAACACCCTTGGGAACTTGAGCAGTAATGCTGCACTGCCCTTCTGCCTTGGCTGCATTAATGCCAACAAATAAACAGTCATAGGAATCTCCACACTGATTGCTTAAATTATGCTCCAATCAAAGCATAATTCCTGAAAGAAAACTTTTATGTAAACAGACCTGAGAGCAGGGGGGGGGGGGGGGAGAATTAGGCTTTAATGGCTTTGTTGGTAAAGCAAACACAAACGAGTCTGAGCACCCCAAAGAGGAACAGATTTATCACCTTTCATGGGTGTCTTGTTGAAGTTCATGGTCGAGTTGCTGGATTTCTGCGCTGTCTGTGGTGCAAGCGAAGGGCTAATGCGGCTGGCCGCCCAACCTATAATTCAATAGCAAAGCCACACTCATGTCAGTCAGCAGTAATTACTTCGTGAACTCAGACTGCTCATGGCGGCAATACCTGAAGCAGCTGCTGAGAGTAAACTCTTCCCTCTTTGCTCCCAGGCAAACCAACTCCAGTTTGTTTTTAGGTGCGATTTACTTGAAATGGCAAATATCACTCTCTTTACCTGTCTTGCTCAGTTGTCCAGCAGCCTACAGTACATTACATTGATGACAATTTTGATATTCAACAGGAATCGTGAACAGATTTGGTTGGATGGGGGGGGGGGATAAGATTTCAGCCTGTTGCAGATGGCAGCCCGAAGCCTTCCCAGCCGGCCATTCTGCACTCCATGAAAGAAGGGGTAGGAAGATTGGCTGCTTGTGGCATGACTGACAGTGGCAGTAGCCAACCCTTGTCCTATGCACAGGCGGGCTCCGACAAAAGCAACAGGTTTTGTTTTTTTAAAAAACCCTGTTACAGAGTAGCCCTATATGGTGGATTTCCGTTGTTTACAAATGGTGAATCCAGAAGGGAGAAACCTGCCTGGGGGAAGATCCCGCCCCCAGTTTCTAAGTGTTTGCTGGCCGAAACTCTCTGCTAGCTTGCATTCAAAGAGCAGCTAGAGGCAGGATTATCAGTGCGACAGTCAGGAAACCAAGCCTCCTGGCTCCTCTGCCTCCCACTGCACAAAATGGGGGAAGGTGACACAAATAAACAAAAAAATCATCCTCCTGACCCCCAAATTAAATTTAAAAATGGAAGCAGCCACCAGATTGTTCGCTCCTGCCAGGGAGCACAGTCCCTATACATACAAATCAAATACAACTGCTTTAATGATTAGCAAAATGGAATGCAAGTAGAGTTGGGGGTGGAGGGAGGAAGAAGTGAATGCTTTTTTATTAAAGCCGTCTGCACCATGAGACAGACAGTCAGAGATGAGAGAAATACATCACCAGCGGACTACTGAAGACACCTACTTGGTTTTCCTAGGAAGCCAGGCTCTCTTCCACCTGCACAGAGAGCACTTCAAGCAACAATTACTTGTTCTACAAAAGGGCCCGGAGGACTCCCCCCCCACACACCCCACCCCTGGTCTAAACTGAGGATAAATGTGCCCAGGAACAATATAATTTTGTAGACAGACAAAACAGAGTGACAGAAAAGGCCTGCATGATCCCTCTTTTGCCAAAAGGCCAGGCGATGGGAGGAAATGCTAAAAATAATTTCCTGAGCCTGTGAAATGTCACGCATATGCTTAACTTGGGTGTCACCCATACCTGAAGGAAGTCTGTCTGGTCTATGGCGATTCACAGATCTGCTGAACTGATTAATAGCTTGACTGAAGAATTAGGCTGAACTCCCTTTGATAGGCTAGTTAAATCTCATATGCCTCAATGGGATTAGGCAGGGTAACTGCACACAGGATTGCAGCCTTAGAAACAGATCTCCAATTAATCACATCAATGAAAAACAGCAGCCCGAGCAGTTTTCCTCGGGCACTGCTGGGAGCCCTGGTTACTCTGCCGCATTCTTCCATACTGATGAAAGTGACCCACTAGGGTGAAAGCATCACAAAGGGCGGGGGGAGGGGGGAAGTTCCCAAACAACCCAGGATTCTTTGTGTGATGCAGCAGAAGAACCTGTTGTTGTGAATCTTTTTGGCAAATCTGCCAGACACCAGACCTACATACTTCCTTTCTAGCAATGTACTACAATTTAGGTTCAGCCTACACCGACTGAGGGGTGTTGCATTTCTAGCTTATTAAACTGGAGAGTCAACAGCAGGTCAGACACTGGGGAGGCAGCGAGATGTGCTGCCTTGAATATGCTGGGTCAGACACAAGGACCTAGACGGGCCCCAAGTTTCTTGCTGGTTCTGTCTCTCTGAGGCATCTGTGACACAGGTGGGCCATCTATGCCATCTTCTCTTGCCTGTAAAGGAACTCTGATGTGCGCACACACAGTACTCCTATGCAAGCAAAATTATTTCCGTATTGGGGGTGTTCCACATGCTCATTCCCCATAGTCCATACAACACTAACATGGGCAAAGAAGTACGGAACTTCATGAGGGTAACCCAGGACCCAGTGGAGCAACACTTAGACTGATATAGCTAGAAATGCCTCAGGGTACCACATTATGATTAGAAACATACAGAAGAAATTTTTTGATACATTATTTTACAACTCTGTGGTTTAACTACCCATTAAATATGTGCCTTTCTTTTGAATAATGCGGTGGGAATGTATTTCTAGGAAAACCTAGCTCAGGTTTCCTCCTACTCTCAGACAGCTGTGGTAAGATTCTCAGCCATGTATATATCTCTAACAAAGAAATGCCACAGCTTGAAGGAGGCTCATGGCTCAGTAGAGCGCATGATTCGCATGCCCAAAGATCCCAGGTTCCATCCCTGGCGTCTTCCACGAAAGGCTCTCTAGTAGCAGGTGATGAGAAAGTGCACAGCCACTGTCAGTCAGGACAGACAAGACTGAGCTAGATGGACCAGTGTTCTGAGTTGGTCTTAGGGGGCTTCGTAACTTTTCTTGACAACTGTACAACTCTTCTTGGACATTTATTTTGACATACGAACTAATCTGCTTCAACCTGAATACCATTCCCACCCTTCAAATATCTCTTCCTCCTCCTCCTCCTAAAACACTCCCCCCCCCCCGAGGGCAGCCACGTTGGTTTGCAGTAGGACAGTTAGATTCGAGTCCAGTAGTGCTGAGAGAGCCAGTTTGGTGTAGTGGCTAAGTGTGCAGACTCTAATCTGGGAGAACCGGGTTTGATTCCCCACTCCTCCACTTGCCACTGCTGGATGACCTTGGGCAAGCCATAGTTCTGTCAAAGCTGTTCTGTGAAGGACAATTCTGGAAAGAGCTCTCTCAGCCCCACCTACCTCACAGGGTGTCTGTTGTGGGGAGGGGAAGGGAAAGGAGTTTGTAAACTGCTCTGAGACTCCGAGTGAAGGGCGGGGTATAAATCCAATCTCTTCTTCTTCTTAGAGACCAACAAGAGTTTCAGGGCAGGAGCTTTTGGGAGCTGACTCTCAAAAACTTATCCCTTGAAAATCTTGCTGGTCTCTAAGGTCTTAAAGGTAAAGGTAAAGGTTCCCTTGCTCGAAAGCCAGTCGAATCCGACTCTAGGATTGCGCTGCTCATCTCCGTTTCAAAGCCGAAGAGCCAGCGCTGTCCGAAGACGTTTCCATGGTCATGTGGCCGGCATGACTAAACACCAAGGCGCACGGAACACTGTTACCTTCCCAACGAAGTGGTACCTATTTATCTACTTGCAATTTCTTGCTTTCGAACTGCTAGGTTGGCAGGAGCTGGAATTAGAGATGGGAGCTCACCCCGTCATGCGGCAACTCGGGTCTCGAACTGCTGAACTATCGACCTTCCATAGCCTGCAGTTCAGCGTCTTAACCACTTGAGCCACCGCAGCTCTAAGGTCTTACTGGACTCAAATCTGTTACTTTCCCCACCCCCATTATTTTCTCAAATGGCATATTCCAAGTCCTTGATCAACTTTGTCATTGTTCTGCTCAAACTGTGAGCAGCCAATAATGACACAGCTGAAGGTAACCCAGTACCCAATAGCACAACACCTATTAACGCTTTAATCCTGTGTATGAGGCCTTTACTAACAAAAATTTGCAATGACATTAACCTCTTTGGTGAGCAGCAGCATTGGATGGGTGTCATACATCAACATTTTATGATACCCTGTAATCACCATGTTCTTCAGTGGTACTAGAGCATTCTCTTTGGAATGCACAGTACTTTACAGCTGTCTTTATAGACTTCAGCCTACACTACAGCCACAGATCATGCAAGGAGCCACAAATGGAAAATGTTTATGATTTCAATAACACATTTTCTGGTTTGCCAAAAGTAATTGTCTTGTTCATCCTCTCAATGACTTGCCTTTTACTTACTTACTTAGTTTATTATGATCTGAGATCAACAGTCCAGAAAATCAACAATACAAATATACACTGGATGTATAAAATAGATATTTCTGTGCAGAAAATATACAATTAATGGTAATAATAAAATTATTAAAATACTAGACTGTCTTCATCTGCCTTGTTGAACATGCCAGAGCGCAGAATCTTGCTATCTTATGGGTAGTTTCATTAAAATGATTGGCAAGAAGAAGAGAAGTATAAAAATCATTTGATCTGCCTGGGTACTTGGTACAATTGGCAATGTAAAAGGACACGTTCGATTGTTTCTGCCATTCCAGACTGACATGGGCAGAGACGTTGTACATATGGGATATGTGCATATCTTCCTTCAAGAAGGGCAGATGGAAGGACATTAATACAGGCCACAGTGAAGGCTCTGAGGTGTTTGGGGAATTCTAAGGTATAGAGGTAATTTGATGGAACAAAAATTTTGTTGCACTTCTCTGCTGCCAGAGCAGAGTGGACCGGTGATCTGTTAACCTGAAGGGCAGTATCCCATAGTCTCTGACTAATGCCCTGGCTCCAGGGTACCCAAGATGCAGTAAGGCTATGCAGGAGAAACCAAACAGTTGTAATGTGTTCTCTGCTGCTCTCACCCACCTTGAGTGAAAATTGTCTAAGAGGATTAATGAAGTTAATACCGGGGTGGGGGAAGGTTTAACTTGAGCCAGAAGCGTATAGCTTGGACTCAGGCACGTGCTTCAAGTGGAACCAGGTATACAAGTGGAACTGGGTGTACAACAAGATACTCCAAAAAAGGATCTGAGAAATCTGGATTGGATCGCTTCTAGTAACCACTGTACAGACGTGTCTGTGAACCATATGTAAGCCGGGGTCCCGCCTTGCCCTAAAAGGCTTTCAGTGCATACAGTATGTGAGAACTCTTTTTTGTAAAGAAGAATCGTAAAGTTGCTGTGGCTGCTCTTTGGGCAGACTCAGTTACATGGGAAAGCTGAGCTGAATGACCTGCCTCAGAAAGCTTTCATATACCCACAGTACCGGCAAGGATCCCAGGCTGAAAGACTTGCCCAAGGCCAGTGGGAAAGTTCATAGCTTGGCAGGGATTTAAATTCACGTTTCCTTGATCCAAAGCCAGCACGCTACCCTTTAGAACACACTCGCCGGCATGGTCAGCTGTTTGCAGCAGCATTGTTTGTCCATGTAATCCAGCAGAGTTTCAAGAGGGCATGTTTTTTCTTACAAGTTACCACTAAAGGCTGTCCTCCTGTTAAATAACTGAGAGACTATTATAAATGCAAATAACCTCTAATTTGCATGAATGAAAGACCAATTGTGGCAACTTTTTTTTTTCTTCCAGAGCTGTCATTTATTGTAGTGTGAGAGGCTTGCTTGTAAAGTACGCTAACTCAGGCCTTGCTTGTTAAACGAAAACATCATTTTGCTAGGATTCTTTTCTGTCATCTACTGAATGCATGTCTAAAAGAACAAGCATCTTACGCTTGCATATGTTACAGCCCAGTCTGCATTGCCAGAATAAGGAATCACTGTAGACCCTCCAGCATCAGGCTGGGAATGTACAAGATCTGTGTTCAAATCCTGTCTCAACCAGGCACACGTCACCAGCCTTGTAAAGTACGCTAACTCAGGCCTTGCTTGTTAAACGAAAACATCATTTTGCTAGGATTCTTTTCTGTCATCTACTGAATGCATGTCTAAAAGAACAAGCATCTTACGCTTGCATATGTTACAGCCCAGTCTGCATTGCCAGAATAAGGAATCACTGTAGACCCTCCAGCATCAGGCTGGGAATGTACAAGATCTGTGTTCAAATCCTGTCTCAACCAGGCACACGTCACCAGCCTCAGTTCCTCATCTGAACCTGAGAACCGAAGCCAAGAGTCGCTTATCACCCATCTCAGAGGAGTGCTATGTAAAACTGTTTGCCCACTGAAATACAAAAAGCCTATTTGAATTCAGCATTGTCTTTGGTGATATTGTATCCTATACCAGAAGCTTTGCTTGTATCAGAGCCCAGGATCAATCCTACCATTTAAAGAGAAAGGATGTTAATAGTAAGGCTGGGAAAGCCCTTGGCTGGAATCACTTCCAGTAAGGACAGACAGTAACAGGCAAAGGTAGAGCCACGTTCTGATTCAACACAAGAACTGCACTACACGTCCTGATTTAGTTCCATATAACTGGCCGTTGACAATACCCGCCCCCCCGCCCCGAGGGTGCAGTCAGGATTCGATGCTTCACCCTGCCCCTGTCAGCCATTCTTCCTCCACAAATTGCCCTCCACGGATGCTCTTCCCTTCACTAGGAAAAAATGAGGTCCTCACGTCTTTCCCCACAGGTGAAGAACAACTGCTTCAGGATGGTAATTTTGAGAGGAAAAATGGCTAGCAGGAAGGGAGCTAAGCGCTCTTTCCCCCACTCTTGACCACTGCTTGTTATGTTTAAAAAGTCAGGAAAACCTTAAATGAAACTCTGTGCAACACGCAGTTCGGCCTTAAGACAGAGTCTAACAAGGTAAGGCACAGCTCAGTAGTAAAGCACCTGCTTTGCGTACATTTTGCACCTCCAGAAAGGAAGGGAGCAATGCCGGCACAGGTCGGCACCTAAGATTTTGGAGATCAGCTGCCAGAGAATTCAGCATTTCGTCTGATGAGCCTATAGCCCAGCACAGGAGGAGGCGACCTCCTACAGAGCATTTGCCTGGCGCTTGAAGTGTTGAAAGTGCTTCCCATACATCAATCTCAGCAGTGCTTACAATGAGCTTGGAAAGCAGGCCAGGATTAGTCCATGCCAGAGGTGAGCTCTGAACTGCAGGCTTCCTGATTCACAGCTCAGTTTCTTTCCTACACTGGGCTACACTACATCCCTACAACATCTTACAAATTTCCGTACTTTCTACATGTGAACTAGAATGAGAAGCCAGTTGCGTCCCTAGTGACACATCTATGAAGCCAAAGTACATGGATTCCAGCCACTGAATCCCCACTGCTGACATGCTCCTATCTTAGGTCTGCCAGTCTTGACAAAGTCCCTTTAATAACAGCTTTTGTACTGCTACGGCAAGCTCTTCTATTTTCCTCTACCTGAAGAATGTCAGAGGAATAATTTTCCCATCAACAAATGACAAGCAAACCAGCCCACGTTAACACCCTGGAGGAGTTAAGAACCCTTCACACACGTCATCCCTTCGCTCTAAAAATAATGAGGCAATTTTTTCCTTTCACCCTTTACGCCTCCCTCCCACAACCACCATCTGCCCAAGAAACACTGGAGAGATGAACACACAGAATATTGGCAACAAGGAGGCTGGTCTACGTATGAAGCACTGAGGTAACCAGCAGGGCGAATTAATAGAGCAGTTTCATTTTAAGCCTGGATGCAGATACATGTACTTTGTAACACAAATAGCTGCACGATGCATACGGAAAGTGAAAATGGGGGAGGGGGACGCCATATATACCTCCCCTAGTGTGACTAATCTGCGGGAGAGGGTCATCCTGGGATGTATGCAGGCATGCTACCTAAACCAGGGTTGGATCCAGACAAAATTTTCCAACAGCAGTTTCTGCCTCCTGCCCCCTCTGCCCATTGCAGCTGACAGATCTCCATGAAATGCTGCTCTTGGGAGACAGGAGACCCCCAAGGAAAAACACGGGGGGGGGGTGTTGCAGGGAGAAGAGGGAATCAGTGAAACATGCTAATACAGTCTGGATCCAACGCAAAGTGTACATCTATGCACATGTAAAACAGGCATAGTCCATAGTTATAATGCTTGGTATGAAGAAGAAGAGATTGGATTTATACCGCACCCTTCACTTGGAGTCTCAGAGCGGCTTACAAACTCCTTTCCCTTCCCCTCCCCACAACAGACACCCTGTGAGGTGGATGGGGCTGAGAGAACTCTGACACAAACTGCTCTTTCAGGAACAGCTGTGCCAGAGCTTGTGACTGACCCAAGGTCACATCAGCAGGTGCAAGTGGAGGAGTGGGGAATCAGACCCGGTTCTCCCAGATTAGAGTCCGCACACTTAACCACTACACCAAACTGGCTCTCTTGACAAACTGGCTCTCTTCAAGGAAAAGCATAGGGCCAGTCTAGTTCCCAACAAATGAGGAAATGCACGAAGCAACAAGCTGTGTTGAACTGCTAAAAAGTTTACCATCATCAATAAAACAATACCTTGAAGGGAGGACTGTAAGTCATTCATATTTTGGTCTAAAAGCTGAGAAGGAAGAAAGCCTGAAGGTGATGACGAGGACATTGACTGACTGATCTCCATTTCTCCTCCTGAAGAATTTGTGCCCATGTCGGCAAGTGGATCCTCTCCAAAGACAGCTGTCCATTCCCTGCTGAATTCGCCGTCATCCAAAGAAGATGCATTGAGAATCTCATTCAGCAACAGTATGTCATCCTTGTCACTAGCCTCAGGCTCCAAAGAGGTTGCACTTGGGTCCTTCGAAGCCACTGAAAAAACAGGAGCACCCATGTAAGCGACCCATATACTTAAATAGAACTATTTTGGCCTCTCTTTTGAAATATGAAAATTATTTTCCCTATAGTATTCTTTATCCTTTCTTTAATATCATATGTCATTTATTATGGGCATACATAGAAGGTTTACAAGTGGGGGTCTCGCAAAGACTTGTAAGGGGCATCTCATTTTCTTCTTCCCTGCTGTTTCTGCCTTCCCTTTCTTGAAAGCCCCCATAGCCTCTCCGTTTCCTGCTTCCCTCTCTCCTTCCAGCTCACCAGCCAACCTTTACCTGCCTCCCTCTGTCTTCAGCTTTCCCTCCTTCCCTTCCCCTGGCCCCCCCCCCCCCGGAATAGTCTGGTCCAGTCGTGGAAGGTCAAGTTGTACTGTGGGGAACCTGTAAGGACTTGTGAGGGGCACCTTTTTTTCTTCTGTCTCTTCTTCCCCACACTATTTTCTCTTTGTCTCCTCCTGGCAGCCCCTATATTCTCAGCTTTCCCTGTTTCCTTCTCTCCTTCCTTCTGGATTTCAGATTTTTCTGCAAAACTGGGACTTTCTCAGGTTTATAGAAACCTTTGTCGGTCCACAGCTCTGATCTCTGGATAAACTGGGCCGTACTTGGAATGAGATATACTGAAGATAGATTACTAAGCAACATGACAGTAGCTTTACGGTTACATTATTCCTAGCAAGCAGGGCCTTCAAACCAGGAGTTTTGTTGGACAGGGAGGGGCTTATGCTGCTGGTTCAGATGTCTAGGAGATGAAAAATGAAGGAAGTCCATCACCGAGAAGCATGGGATGCCCTCTCTTCCAGATGACTGAGTAAACAGAAAGTAAAGTAGGATCTGGGTGTCTGACCAATGTAGAACACAATGAGATGTGGCAGTCCTCTGCAAAGGGATTGCCTCTATTCAGACATCATAAAGAGACAGAAGTTTGTTCATTAAGGGCAAGCATCTGGCATTCTGTTGTGCTCAGCCCCCCCCCCCCCCCCCCCCCCCGCTCCCCTTGTGGTTTAGGGCTTCAGGTTCGTGGGGAAGAAATACTGCAGATTCTTCAGATGCCCATGGAGGGATGTCATGATAAACTGGGATTTGATTCAGCACTTCTGAAACCAGGAAGTCTTCAACTGCATTCTATGTGTAAGAAAAGGAGGGAGGGAGTGCACAAGCCACAAACAGATCTCTTGTGATATCTCAATGCATCTGTTGTATGCACTGGGGGGAAAGAGACAGTCAGTTAAGAAGAGAAGAAGAAGAGGAGGTTGGATTTATACCCCACCCTTCACACACAGTCTCAGAGTGGCTGACCATCTCCTTTCCCTTCCCCTCCCCACAACAGACACCCTGTGAGGTAGGTGGGGCTGAGGGAGCTCTTTTGAGGACTGCTCTTAAGAGAACAGCTCTGAGAGAACTTGTGACTGACCCAGGGTCACACCAGCAGATGCATGTGGAGGAGTGGGGAATCAAACCCGGTTCTCCCATATTAGAGTCCGTTCTCCTAACCACTACACCAAATTGGTTCTCCACACCTATGCAAAGAGTGAAAGAATTTTCACTGGGCTAAATGATTATGGTGTTTTCCATATCACAACATGTGTGTATAGCTTCCCCACTGCTTCTGTAACTGCTGTATACTGCAGCAACTACAGAACTTCTACCTGCCCCAGTCCCCTGGCAGTCCCTCTATGTACCACCAGTTCTTTTTTCATGTTTTAAACAAACTGACAATAAAATATCATTATAATTATATAACAATCTGTGAAACAGCTTCTCTGAATGCCCACTTTTCATTTAAAAAGTAAATCCATAGCTCCTTTCATGGTGGAGATATGCCTTTCCCGTTATATCTCCTCACTGAAAGTGGCTAGAGACTGAAAATAAAAACAAAACTGGGAATTCAGAGAACTCAGTACAAAGATTGTTATAACAATAACCAAGTGCTGATTAAAAACAAACCAAAACAGCCTACTGGTGGAAGGGAAGGAAATGTCCACTGCAGGAATAGGGGAAAGTAAAACGGAAGCCATGTAGGTGGGGCTGGGGAAATCCAAACTTTCCCACCCATATGGCAGCCATCTGTGCTTTTCTGGAATCCTTCATAAAATTTCATAGCAAAGCAGGTTTGGGAAAGACTGGAGAAAAGCCAGGGAAATGCCTGGAGGTGCATGAATAATGCATGCGGGGGGCGGGATACATTCCAATACAACTACCTATATCAGAAAGAGACTGTTTTAATCACAAATAATACCACTGGATCTATAAGGAGCTTTTAATGATAGGAGAGTATCATTGGAGAGATCCCATAAGTCACCAAAGACTACTACTTGTTTATCACTTTACTTATAACCATCACCACTACTACTCTGGTTCAGGAAGGAACTTCAACAAGAATGGATCCTCATGACTACTTCCTAAATGGTGGATGTTTCAGAATGTCCGGCTATCAGGCCCCTCCAGGTTCATGGAAATAAGAACAACAAAGTGTGCAGTTACGCATAGCTCTGTATCTGGAGGGCCACAAGTAACCAGCTCTCCACCAGGCTAGTGTCATCCCATGAAACGTTATAAAGCAGCCACCCCACGAGAAGATTCTACCCCTCAAATGTGAAAATGTTATCCTCCTCCGGTCTAGAGATCATGCTGGCTGCAAGAGCTCTTGACATTCTTCTAGGTTTATAGACCAGCTCATGTTTCCATGACTGCTAGCTCCCCAGCAAGTGCCCTGGTGGAGCCCAGTGGTTAATTTTTAGTTAAGCAAAAGCAAACAAGGCATGAAAGGGCAACATGGCTGTGAAAGGGATACCTTACAGGAAGAGGATCAGTTGCTTGAAGAGCACAATCAAGGAAAGGAGAAGCAAAGTGTTAGGTTCTAGGTGTGCCTGATCTTCTAGGTCCCCTCTTCAGCTGCCCAACATAGGTGGGAATGTTGACTGGCTTGAACCAGACAACAACCCATCTACTACCTTTTATTAGGACCAGCCAAATGACACATAATAGCATGCAAAAACTTTGAGGTCTCCATAACTAATATTCAGGTTAAAAGATACCAAAACAAAAATGAATAAACGGGTTTGGTAGAAGGAAATGCCTCAGGACATGATACTTGCATTGTATGTTAGACACAGAGCAAATTCAGATGGTGCTAAACACACAGTGCCTGAGTAACACTGTGGAATGTGCCACTCTCCACGTTCAAGCAAATCTGTCAGCCATGCCACGGTTTACAGGCTCACAGCAGTTGGCAAATCTGCCCTAGCTAACTGTGTTTCAACCTACTTGTCAGGGATCACAAACCCAGGGGCTTTGCCTATTTGAAATTCTCCCAGAGTATACTTCCAAAACTACATACAGGATTTTATACATGCCACCATAGCCCAAACTGGGAGCATGCATTTATTCCAGATAAACATTTACCTTTTCTTCCCTCCCCCCGATATACCATCTTGCAGACTGTGTGTTGGATTTCCAGTTTCCGTGTGCATGCTTGGAGCCCCAGTTTACATACTGCCCCTGTTCCCTGTGAGCTCCATAAAACAACATTTTACTAGACATAAGTGTGCATGGGAAGACAGTGGGAGGGAGGTATTATGAAGAGTCCCCACTAATACTGTAATCAAAGGCAGAAATGTGATGCAACCTGGCACTGTCTACAGCCAGGCTTCAAAGTGCTGACAGTTTTGCCCCACAGCCGAAGATGAGGCTAGTTCTTTGGAGGAAGCTTCTCCAATAGGCTTTCTGTCACTGTTGCATCATGGTGGACCTTCGTAGCCTATCTTAGAGAAGTGCTAAAATGCACAATAAGATTTGTTTAATAACGCTTCCGTTGGCTAGATACTCTGCTGCAAACTAAATTCTCCAGACATAAAACCAGCACTGATCATAAACTCTTGTAATGAGCTGGGCATATCAGAAACATCGAGATGAAAAAACCTTTTGAAGCACCAGGGTCACTACAGTCACAACAGTAGGTTTTACTTTAAAGCAACTGTCTTTTTCCTTAGAGAGGATCTTTCTTTTAAATAGCACAACATTAGAGCAAAGTGATTGGGGGTGTGAAGGAGGAGAGGTAGGGGATAGAGTTGACTTTTAAATAAGCTTATGAGTCAACACCACATGGGAGAATCAGAACACCTACACATTATGGGTAAAACCAACTCAGATAAAAGGAAGCAGGAACTGGAACTTTTATCAAATATCGGCAAGAAGGCTACAGACGATCTGAGCTTTGAACTACTCATTTATGCTTTCAGTCTCCTCTGCCGTGGTACACTTGTCAAGAAAGGTCCAAAGGGAAACAATATTGAGTATTATTCCCGGGTGTCCTGCTGTATCAAGATGGCGGCCAAAGCTTTCAGCTCAGCATATCAACCTTGGTAGAACTGGGTGCTTAGTGGCACCTCCTATCTCTTCGGAGCATGATTTGCAGTGAGCAATTCATCACAGTCAGCAAATCACACTGCAGAACATGCAAGCAAGTGCTCAGGCACAATAAAGCATATGTTACAAGTTGGTGGCACCACCGATATGTCTCTTCATGACCTGCAGCTGACCTAGAAGGCTCAAACTAAAAACAACTGTACTCGAATGCTATTTCATTGACCTAGAAACTACACAGCACCTCTGACAACTGTGGCATAAACCGCTGCCACTCTGTCTTCTGGTGAGACGCCTCAGCCTGACCCCTGCACTATCTCGTCGTGTTTTGCTGCATTAGGCAGGCTTTGCTTCCAGAAATTTAGAAGCCTATCAGGGAGTGGTGAAGCGACAACAGATACTAAAAGCAGTGTTTCAGTGATAAGATGCCTGCCATTCCCTTGGTATGCCGTAATTCACATTTATCACAATAGAAAAGGGAAAAAAATCAATATCAGTATGACCAAGAGGAAAGCTATCCTTTCAGTAATTTTAACTGCCTGTACTTCATGAAGACAGAGGGCGATTCTGCACTGGCTTCTCCCTCCTTTGTTTTACGAAACCCACGTTGGAACAGAAATTCCCCTCTGCATTGCAATGCTGCTTTCGCTTTCTTTGATCATCGGATTTTATGGTACCTTCTGCATAGACTTATGGCTGTGTGACTTTGGGTGACTTTGCAGTCAGTACAGTGTTGCCCCGAGGTATCTGAATGTGGTTTTGAGCTGCACCTTTTCCTCCCAGTTGAGAAAATGTGGAGCGAATGGTAGATGCAGAATCACCCAGATACAAATACGATATAAGCTATTTCTTATCCTAAAAGTGCAGCGGTATATTCACTGTTTTCGAGTCCTGTAGCACCTTAGAGACCAACAAGATTTTTAAGGCATGAGCTTGTGAGAGTCAAGGCTCAAATCTAGCTGTTCCATTGTGGACCAACGAGCCTCCCCCCCCCCCCCCCTTTATAAATCACAAGCACCTGTGGCTCTTCTCAGTTAGCTTCATGCTTGCTCACCTGCTTTGCTGTAGCTTTCCCATTCCTTTCCCTTCTGTTCTTCATGTCAACTGCTTCTACTCCTTTTCCCAATGGTAAACCTAGCCTTTATCTTCCTAAATTGCTCCCACAATATTTAAGATACCACACCAAAACATAGCCTGTTCCTACCCTCTTCCATGTCGATTCACTATATGTAAAAGAAATATGAAAAAGAGTATGAGAACACAGTTTAAAAAGGGGAATAACAGAATCAAACATATGTGATAATCTTAGCAGGCAAAACTACATTACGCAAAACTACATTACTCTGCATGCAGAATCTAAGAAAATGAAAACTGTGCACCATGATCAGTGCTGGTCTTTCTTTTACGTGGGTGTGGAATGGCCACCGCTGATAGACCGTGGGGGGTCAAAGTCACTTTAACTGCCGCTACTGCCAGATGCCTGGCCACCCCAGCTCTTCCTGAAGTCTGCTGCTTCCATATTTGAAAGCAAATTTTGGCAGCTTGATGTGAGTTCCTCCTATGGCACCACAGTATGTTTCATTATTATTTCCCTTAAAAACCCTTGTGCATATGTATACACGCACCGTGACATGGATGGATTTGTACTACCCGATTAGCAGAAATTACTGACAACAGTAGGTAAGAAGAACAACAACTTCAGAAATTCAACATGGACACAGGTTTGCTAAGGTGGCAAAAGCATCAGAAGCCACTGATGGATAGGAAAGCTCAGTAACTCACGACAGCATTACCTGCTAAAATTATCATGAACTTTTGATTCTGTTGTTATAATAAGCAGTATCACTCCCTTCTTTAAAATGTGTTCTTGTACCCTTTCATACATCTCCTACTGGGAAGCAACTTTAAACAGTGTGACATTCCCTTCTGAAAATAAAACAGGTTTTAATTGTTCATTTATTTCTCAGGAAGAAAATCTCACATTTCTGGGGTCCACAGACAAGGAATGTGTCTTCAGGAGCCAGTCAAGTGAGGCTCAATTCACAGTCACCAAAAGGAGTGACTTCACAGACTTCACATGGTGGCTGATTCTTATGACCCACTCATGTGGTAGTAACTGGTATCATTTAGCATAACAGTTACCATTGCCACCTGCACTGTGTGTATTATAATATGTTCATCATATATATATGATGCCATAACTTCAACACGTCAAAATAGACTGTGGAAATCCACCCTTAGATGGCAGCAACACTGTAAGGACTAGTATAAGAAACTTCATGATAAGATTCAACCTCTTCCCCCCCCCCCAAAGGTAGTTGCCAAGATGAGTACATTATGCAATACAAGTGTTTAGAAGCTCATATATCTGTAACAGACTATTGAAAAACAGTTGGCCTCAAGCGTACCTGGAAAAAACCCACTGGAAGAACATCCAAGGCCTACAATAATACCTAACATTAAGGAAACTGACAAACAGTAAACCATTACTGTCAGCAGTGGCACAGGAAGAGATACTTTTCCATACCAGGATCACACCAAAAGCCCAGAGACTGAGGTAAATTTTCTTTTATATCCCCTAACCACCCAAAGCAAAATGTAAATATTAAATTATACTATATTTGGTGTCTGTTTGAAGAACCCAGTTAGTCAAAGACATTACATACCATTTGCCTCAGGTTTCAAGTCTAACAAGTCATCTATAGCTCCTAAAAATAAGGCAAAGGAAAACGGAAATCATTAATCTGTGCGTTTCATAGTTACAGTGCTGTTGTTTTCATTAATCCAGGAAACATACCTGAACTCTCTCTGTGGTTGAAGCTCTCCCCAAAAGTACTCAGGATGTCCTTGGCATCTTCTGCTAAACAACCAAAATATTTACTGAGTAAAGTCAATTCCAGTAGAGACAGTTTCAGATATGGAATGCTCTTCAAAGCTTATCTAGTAGGATCATCTGGCAGGATTTTTTACTTAACTACCCCAGACTGTTGATTCATCTATGTACACGTTCCTAAATATATGCACTGATCTTTAACTTTAATAACATTTCCAAACCAGTCCACAAACCATAGATAAAACGATATAAAACACTTTTTAAAAAAATCAAGCCACAAACAACACACACAAACACAAAGGCAAGCAGAAGTACAATAGTAGTAAAGTCAGTGTGCCAATTGCAATTCATACATACAAACTCACCCAAATCCCTGACAGAAGTGAATAGTCCCAGGCCCATAGCTACAGTGGGGCCTCTTGGGGCCTGGCCCCCCGACTTGCCACCAAGGCCCCACAACTTCCCATCCAGTCCAGGCCCTCCGATTTCCAATTTTTAAATTTTATTTATGGTGCTCACTTGGGGGGATGCGGGGTGGTGGTGCTGGGGTGCCCCCTGACTTATTTAAAGGCCCCCCGAATTAGAAAGTCCTGGCTATGGGCCTGAATAGTCCTTATCCACATACTTCCCCAAATGAAATCACTGAAGGGGACAGGGGAGTATCAAAAGGGAAGGCATGCCATAGTTTTGGAAAGACCGCTGCTTCTGATCAAAATCAAACCTCATCTGCATATCTTAATGGATAATCCAGTCACATAATTGTTTCAAAAAAGCCTTCAGCAAAGGAGTTTTCTTCTTAAAATTATCTTAATATTAACATGTCTAGACTCTCCCCCATTTTGTAGACCATAGGCAGGCATTGAGGGAAACCTTCATTCTAGTTTACAAGGGTTTTTCTGCAAATCAATTTCCCCCTCAATTCAACTCATGCCTACAAATGAATTCAATGATCACTTCCATCAAAATGCTAGGACCCATTCCCATTCTGTGTCATGGACCACCACTTTCAAAGACACGGGGGGTTACTTCCAGATATGTTGGGCCATTTAACGAGATTTTCTTTTTAAAGTATAAAACTCAAGATTACTTTTGACACAACCTTCTCTGCTTTGACTCTCCTCAGACAAAAGAAATCACCACCACAAGATGGAAAGCTGCCTGTTAAGAAAACAAGATACTTAGGGAGGTGTTCCTGTTTTTGGTAAAAACCCTACTACTGTCAGATAAATAATATTTCAGTCTTCAGTGTCTATTTGATGGAATATCTCCATCTGCAAAGTAATTTGGAAACATGATATGGAATGGCTTTATTACGAAATATTTCAAAAGGTAGATCTTTTCCTTGGCTGGTCCTATTGTTTAATAGATAAGATTCCTCATTTAGGAAGAGAGAGTCTACCTCTCCAATTTATTTCTGATTTATCAGAGTATCGATAATTTATACCCTTTGACAACATACTCGCCCAGGGCAAGTTAAAACTGAAGCCAGGCCTATCATATCTGTGCACATGCCTTCACTTGTTAGGAAGGCACCCACACAGAGAACCAGTAGGGCTCTTGCATATTTGAGGAAACATAGCAGAATGCCACAGCGGCTGCATTAGCTGTACACAATCTCTCTCCTGGAACAGGGCAGGGGAGAGAATGTACCCCCGGATTAGCAGCAGTCACGGTATGATGTTATGTTTCTCCAGCTGTAGGAGGCAGAGAGGTTCCATCAAGCAGTGGTAGCAAGCAAAAAGGATGCAGAGGATTGGTGCCTACTGTACATCATTTATGTTTCAAGGTGCCTTGACAGCTGTTAAAGAAAAACACCCTCTCTCTGCTCATAATTGATCCCATGTGATTTACATTTCTAGAACTTCAATGGAAAACACCCTCAGACAATGCAATACAGACAGGCAGCAAAAACCCCCAAAATATTCAACTTGCTTCCATTAAGATAACTAATAAACACGAAGCACATGGCATCTGAAAGACATAATGAACAAAATACCTGAGCTTGCCAGTTCCCTTGAGTGGCTTTCATCATCTAAATAAATCAACCTTAAATTGAAGGGAGGGGGAGAATACAAGAGTTTAGTTTTCGTCTCTGGCATATCACATGCTTACTGGGGGAAAATATAACCAAGTTATGGATGCTTTCTCCCTTCTTTGTTCTGTGGAATAATCAAGAGACCTTGAATTTTTTGGGGGGCTTGTATTTCAATACAGTCTATGAAATAAAGCTGTGAAGGACTGGCATTTTATCAACTGCTATGCAATTTCCAGGCATAATTTTAAAGGTTTCCAGCTTCAGCAAATTAATACTCAGTGTGGGATACACCAACTTCTACAACAGTTTATCGTTGCAAATACTAGCAGCAGTTCACTTCCGCTAGTACTACAAGCATCTTCTGCTGCTGCTGCTGCATGATGGATCTGATGCTCTTATCACAAGGTGTCATGAGGTCACAGGCAGGGACTGCTACTACAATCTTGTGCAGGTGCACAGCTGCCAAGTAGGCAGGACATGCCTGCTACTTCCGTCACTGTCTGCGCTACTACCCACTTGGCATCCATATGCCTGCAAGATGCTGAAGCAGAAAGCCCCGCTGCCTCCGCTGCCATGTCATGGTGCCTTCCAGTGAAATTGCTGGATCATGTTCTCCCCCCGCCCCCTCCGCCACCAGTAGCTCACCAATAACAAGATGTTGCTTATCACAGGCCATCATGCTGGTGCCGTGAACAAACAGGATGACAGCCTGCCAGATAGTAAAAGTAACCAAGACAAGAAGGATGCCTGTGGATATAATTTTTCCGGAGGGCAGAATGTGCTGCTCAGCTCACACGGGAAGATGCAAACAAAAGCTGAACCTTTCCAAAACAGACTGCAGCAAAAATAACTTGAGGGCCTTATCTGTGTTAAAATGTCTCCATCTCCACAATGGCCTTATTGCCATGGTGAGTTCTTTTTATCATCGTTCAATTCCACAACATTCTCCACTGGATGCAAAACAGCATTAATAAGCGCCTGTATGGAGAAACGTTAGACTCAGAGCATTTTTGGATTTTCTTCTAAACATTTAAAGAATATTATTCGATACTCTGGCGGGAGGAGGACAGCAGCTCCTCTCTCTGACCTTGGAGAAGAGCGGCCTGCAGAGCCACTGGACTGGTTACATGGCAACTGATGCACTGGCTCGGCAGGGATCACTGCTACACTATGCCTAATGTCACACTGTGATCTTATCCGAACCACAAGCCAAGCACTGAGGACAGATCAGCTGTTCCTTTAGATCTATAAGAAGAATGCAGACACGGGGAGGTTAGAGAAGTTCTTTGAAAGAAGCTCTGAATTGAAAGAGGGAGGAAGTGGGGGGAGGGGGGGATACCTGACAGCATACTGCTTTTACAGACCCTTCCAGTTTTGCTTTGGAATGAAAAAAAGAACTTGTGCACATAACATTCTGAGCAACTTACATCAGGGCAGGCTGGAAAAGAAGTCTGCATCAATCATGTACACTTTTTGGAGCGCCAAGTGATTACCCCCACCTAAGGCTGCATACCTTAACATGGTGAGGGGGCCTGTGTGTGTCAGCTAAAACAAAATAAATGACTACTGAGAAATTACATAGCTTTAAGGTTGATGACGAAGAAACTGAAATTCTTGATTTTCTATTCCTTGGCTCAATTATCAATAAAAAAGGAGACGGCAACCAAGAAATCAGAAGGAGAGTGAGGCCGGGAAGGGCAGCCAGGAAGGGGCTAGAAAAATCCTCAAGTGTCAGGATGTGTTGCTGGTGATCAATATAATTTGTACTGTGGTATTCCGCATTACTATGTATGGGTGTGAAAGTTGGACAATGGAGAAGGCTGACAGGAAGAAAGTTGATTCATTTGAAACGTGGTGTTACAGGAGAGTATTGTGGATACCTATGAACCACCAAAAAGACAAATAAGTGGGTTCAAATCGAGCCTGAACTGCCCCTAGAAGCCAAATTGACCAAACTGAGGCTATCATGCTTTGGTCACATTATGAGAAGACAAGACTCACTGAAAAAGACAAGAATGCTAGAAAACGTTGAAGGCAGTAGGAAAAGAGGAAGACCCAAGATGAGATGACTTGACTCCATAACAGAAGCCATGGACCTCAGTCTACAAGACAGGACATTTTGGAGGTCATTAATTCATAGGGTCACCATAAGTCAGAAGCCACTTGATGTCTCCTGGCATGCATGCACGCACGCACGCACACACTAACTACCAGAAGTGCCTATGGCAACTTATAATTCTACATACAGAATGTGGTTTCATGCAGGGACATTCTTTGTAGCAGTCATTCAGAACCACTCATTAACATAGCTAAGGCCTCGGCCACACGGGCAGGAAAATGTGGGGGGGAGGCGTGGCTGTTTGCCCCGGAGCAAACTAATGCGCGACTGCGCGATCAGACGTCGGGTTGAGGTCCCGTTGAGCTCCCGTGGTTAGGGGGGAGGTGCCGATCACATGATGTGGCAAAGAAGCTGAGCAGTGCGCCAAACGGGGTTGTGTTTTTTAAAAAAACTGAAATATGCGCATGCTCCGTTGGGTGCTTGTGCACATCTGTGGAGACTTGGGGGGGGGAACTTTTTGCGAGGGGACATGGGCGGGCGCCGGAACTACCACCGGAAACGCGATCAGACGCCCGCCCTTGCCCCGCGGTTTCCGGAAAGTAGTACCTCCGAGGTACTAGTTTTTTACCCCACATCTTTGGCGGGAAGCCTCGAGTGCGCCACGGGAGCTCTACGCTTCCCAGATGTGGCGGTGAGATCGCGCCCAGAAAATCCGCCTATCTTCCATCTCTCTAGCGTGCCTAATGCTCCATGTGACCGGGGCCATAGTCAGGCTTTTAAGTGGCTGCCATTTTCAGCATAGGTAATCTTGAGCTGCTTCCATGGGCACATGTGGATGTGAAAACGGTTTATATGTTTGCAACCTCTAAACGTGCAATGCCAGTCAGCATGTTGTTTATTGTTTATTTGGAAACACAATGTTAAGACTTTCTGTGAAATGTGCAGCCAAATACCAAATGGCCAGTACTTAGAGCTGTTCTCCAATACATGCTGGCAACTTAACCCTGGAGATTCAGACTAACAACTGGCAGTGGAAACATAACAATGCCAATATCCTCAGATGTGACTCTGAGTGCTTCCTCGAGAAGAAAGTTCAGTTCCCTTCCTCCTTTTCTCCTCATAGCCTGACCAGCCCATTTATATATTCCCCCTGACACCATTAACTAAAGTTTCACCAGGCTTAGTTCTCAGGATATACTTTTGCATATATACTGGATTACTTATCAAACTTGGTATAAACTATAAAAGCTAGTCAGTGCTCAGAGTGTGGATTAGATCAGCTCCAACTCGTGTGCAAAAGAAACACTAAAGAACAGAGTGAAACATGCACAAGCCTCCCATATGATAGTCTTTGTCCCACAAAACCATAAATGAAGACAAGTAAAACTGGGCAAGCTGTGCTGTCAGGATTTGGTCTTCAAGCAGATTAGCAGACAAAAAGATTATTCCAATTATATGACGTGCGTGGAACACTGCACAAAGGGTAAAAATGATGTGCATTTTGCATTCAGACACAGCCTATTTCAAATGTGTTCTTCCATGAAGGGAAGGGGAAAATATAAAGGCTTCAACTTTAAGAGAAGAATCTGCTAAATATTCAGTTTAGGGAAGCAAACAGTGCATAAAACCAGGAGGTTATTCCAACACATTCAGCCACGGCAAAACAAAAGTAAAGGGAGACTTTCTGCCTCCCATCACAGACATAATGCTCAATGAAGCACTCCAGTTTTCTCTGGGATGTCTGCCACACTTTGAGATAAGGAAGATTAGTCTTTAAGCGCAGGTCCTCATGTCTATACAGAGGATTTCACCCAGAAGTTTCCTCTGCAGTACCTCATCTGAGCTGTAGCATGACTTTCTTGGGGGTGGGTAAAGGCTGTCAGTTCATGTGACCATGGCAGTTAGAAATGACTACTAGAAAAAGACTATGGGAAAAGGTCAAAGTGCAGGCACTGACCGGAGGCCTTCACACTGATGTATTGTTTCAAGCCTCATCTGCTCAGATAATTGCTAGCTTTCTATACTTTCAATCAGAAATAAGATTTTTTAAAAAATGACAGCGCTAAAACAAATCTGGAAGTGCATCATCACGTAAAAGGTTATTATGTTCCAGGATGTATATGACAAGACTTACTGACTCTGCTGATCATCTTTTGATTTGGTGTTGTCTAGCGGCAGTTCCTCCTCCTTTTCTCCATTATCCGTTAGTTTATTTACAGGTTCTTGTAAGCTCTAGGCCACCCATCAATCCATACATGAAAGAAAACATAAGAATTCCATAATAAGGAATGCTGATTTAAAAAAATATGTTGTGGCTGATTAAAATTACAGAAAACAGAAGTCTCACAGGGATAGGAACTACTTTAATCTAAACAGGAAAAGGGAGACATTTGTAGCATAAGAAGGTCAGTGGACAAACTAGTGTGTAAACAGAATGAAAAAAAGGAAGACCAATCCTATAAGTTTGCTTCAGTCAACCATCAGAGCCAGTGTGGTATAGTGGTTAAGAGTGTCGGACTACTATCTGGAAGACCCGAGTTCAAATTCCCACTTGTGCCATGGAAGCTTGCTGGGTGACCTTGGGCCAGTCACACAGACTCAAGCCTAACCTAATTCATAGGGTTGTAAGGATGAATTGGAGGACAGGAGAGTGATGTAAACCCCATTGGGGAGAAAGGCAGGGTATAAATTAATAAATGAATTAAATAATAAATGCTCATGGCAAAACCAAAACCTGGTAAACAGAGATGCCCTGGAGGAGGGATCTGCAGTTAGGTCAGCTGGTTCAGCTACACCAAACATAAAATCATTGAAGCCGGAGACTAGAACTTTCACTATACAAACAGCTGGACTGAGGCTCCTCATTAGTGTAAGAAGTCTAAGAAACCTTTATGCATCTAAGTGGACCTTAGGCAATGAAAGCTTGTGCTACAATAAATTTGTTCATCTTAAGGTCTTCTCGCTGTGACACACTAACATGGCTTCACCTTTTAAAAAAGTGCTCAGCTCTGAGGCACTTATGCTATAGGGTCCCCCGTGCTGTTTAACATCTACCCGAAAGCACTAGGAGAGATCATCAGAGGATTTGGAGCAAGGTGTAACCAATTTGTGTATGACACCCTTAAAAGCCGAGCTAGGTGAGTCCTGAACAGGTGCCCGGAGAAGGTAATGGGATGGGTGAGAGGGCCCATACATTGGAACTCAGTCCAGGCAAGACTGAGGTGCTGTTGGTCTATGATAAAGATCCTCGAGGAATGAACAGTCAGCATGTCCTGGGGTTGCACTGCTCCCAAAGGAGCAGATTTGTAATTCAGGATGCTGCTGGATCCTGGCCTCAGGCTACAGGCCCAGGTCTCCTTTGTGGCACATGGCACCTTTTATCAGCTTTGGCTAATATGCCAGCTATGGCCCTTCCTTGAAAAGCACATCTGGTCACAGTGACCCATGCTTTAATTACCTCCAGGTTAGATTTCTCTCTTGTGCTCTACATGAGGCTGCCTTTGAAAATGATCCAGGAACTTCAGTTAGTCCCAAATGCTGTTGCCAGGTTAGAGTCGGGGCTGGATACAGGATCATATAATCCTTGTGCTCCAAGAACTGCACTGGCTGATTGTTTGGTCCCAGACACATTTCAAAGCACCGGCTCTTACCTTTAAATCCCTAAATTGCTTGGAGGAAAGGTAACTGAAGGACCACCTCCTCCCATATTGTCCAGCCTTTCAGTTATGATCTGCCTCAAGATCCCAGCTCTCTGTCCCCCCCCCCCGACCTTCAGAGGTGAGGCAGGTGGCAGCCAGAGACAGGGCTTGACATCTACTCTGCTACCTTCCAGGAGTTAGGCCAAAATAGTTCCATTCACCCACACTTTTCTTGAAGAAGTTTATTTTTAGCAGGGCTCTTTTTGTAGAAAAAGCCCAGCAGGAACTCATTAGCATAATAGGCCACACCCAACAGCAGGAACTCATTGGCATATTAGGCCACACCCCTGACAGCACAGCTCATTAGCACATTAGGCTGCACCCCCATATTACCAGAAGTGTGGTTATCCAGCCACACCCACCTTTTGCTTGTTATTCTGTTTACCTTGTTTGTTGTCAAAACCCAGGGCTTTTTTTGTAGCAGGAACTCGTTTGCATGTTAGGCCACACACCCCTAATGTAGCCAATTTTAATGAGTTTCTGCGATTGGGTGTGGCCTATTATGCTAATGAGTTCCTGCTGGGCGTGGCCAACTCGGGAGCCAGCCAGAACTCTGTTCCTGTGCGTTCCTGCCCAAAAATAGCCCTGATTTTTAGTATTGTTTCTGTAGACTGTTTAGCCTGGAAACTGTTACATTCATTTTAAGCTCCTCGGTATGTTATACCCTGGCTGGGGTTTTAATGCTGGATTTTAATTAATAACTCTTACTGCTTTATATTGTTGTGTTTTATCCTGTAAGCCACCTTGGGCAGGTTCCCTGGAGAGGCAGCATAGTTCCTTTTTTTCCTGAACAAACAAACAAAGAATACTCACTGTGCCTCTGTGCGGTCTTTGGGATTCATATACCAGTAACAATAAACAGCTGCTTGTCTTTGCTCCCTGCATATTTCAGTTTTGCTCTTTGTTTATCACATTTTGATGGACCTGTCTGTCAGAATACATATGGCGATCTCCCAGGTTTGCAGGGGAAAAAACCAACTTTAAAAATCCCTAATTCAGGACTAACTCTGCCTGGCATGTGCAAGTCACACACCCCCCAAGCCAGATTTCAGAGGGCGTTTTGGGTTGTCATGGCATGCAAACAATGGAAGTGGCTGGCAGAAGGTGGTGAGGAAGGGGAAGCCACAGCCAGAGGGTCGTTTTGGAAAGCAGAGCCTGCAGGCATGAAGTTAGAGCAGAATTAGAGACAAAAGGGGATTTTACCTCTCCTGTGACCCCCCTCCCCCGTTTCTGATTCCCCCAAACATATTTTGCTCTAGTGCTGTAATGTTGCTATGTGTGAAGAGTGAGTTTTATTTATTTAGGAGATTTTTATGCCGCCTCTCCAAAGTCCTGATCAAGATGGCTTATAATTTAAATAATAAATTATCAATATAAAATAAATGAACCATTAAATCAAGCCCAGGGGCATAACAACAGCTTAAAAGCATCAAGAGGTGGTGGATGCTCCTTTGCTGGATGTTTTCAAGTGGAAGCAGGACGACCATCTTTCGGGTATTTTGTAGGCTAAAATGCTCCTATAGAGTGCAGGGGATTGGACTAGATGACCTGCAAGATCCCTTCCAGCTCTAATATTCTATGATTCTAAGAAAAGGGACAACAAACCAGAAGGAAACCATAAAGCAGCCAGAAAGACAAAAGTCCTAATTAAAAGCCTGTGTAGAAAGACATGTTTTGGCCTGATGCCTGAAAGGCAATACTGTAGGCAACCAGTCAAGCCTCAAGAAGAAGGACATTCCAAAGGTATGGGGCCACCACAGAAAATGTCCTGTCTCTATGCCACCAGTATTACTTTTGAAGGCATGGGCATGGAGAATAGGGGCTGGGAGACAGTTATAAACTGCTGGGCTGGACACTGTGGGTGGAGATGGTGCTTCAAGTAGCCTGGCCCCAAGCCATTTAGGGCCTTCAGTAAGAACAAGCAATCTGACTTGTGCCCAGAAACAGACAAGTATCCAGTGCAGATCTTTCAGCACAGGGATGATATGAATCCTGTAAAAGGTGAAGGTTCCCTTGCTCGAAAGCCAGTCGAGTCCGACTCTAGGGTTGCGGTGCTCATCTCCGTTTCAAAGCCGAAGAGCCAGTGCTGTCCGAAGACATTTCCGTGGTCATGTGGCCGGCATGACTAAACACCAAGGCGCATGGAACGCTGTTACCTTCCCACCAAAGTGGTACCTATTTATCTACTTGCAATTTCTTGCTTTCGAACTGCTAGGTTGGCAGGAGCTGGAACTAGAGACAGGAGCTCACTCCATCATGCGGCAACTCGGGTCTCGAACTGCTGAATTACTGACCTTCCACAGCCTGCAGTTCAGCGTCTTAACCACTTGAGCCACCACAGCTCCTTACGAATCCTGTAACCAGCCCCTAATAATAGCCTAACTGCCACATTTTGGACCAACTGAAGTTTCCAGGCAGCTCCATGTACAGTGCATTACAGTAATTTAACTTGGATATAGTCAGAGAATAGGTCACTGTGGCCAGATCATGCTTTTCAAGGAATGGCCACAGCTGGCAAATCATCCGGAGCTGTTAAAAGGTGCTACATGCCATGGAGGAGACCTCAGCCTCCAACTGTAGCCCAGGGTCCAGTCGCACCCCGAAGCTACGAACCTGCTTCTTCAGGGAGAGTGCAACTCCCTCCAGGACAGGCTGGCTCCACAACCCCCAAGCAGCTTCTCCATTGACCAACAGCACCTCAGTCTTGTCTGGATTGAGTTTTAGTTTATTGGCCCTCATTCATCACATCACCTTTTCCAGGCATTTGTTCAGGATTTCCACAGACTCACATGACTCAGCAGTTAAGGAGAATTAGAGCCAGGAGTCATTCACATATTGGTGACACCTCAATCTAAATCTCCAAATGGCCTCTCTCAATGTTTTCATGTAAATGTTAAACAGCATGGCAAACAAGGTGAAACCCTGTGGGACCTCACAGCAAAAATATCATGGGGCAAGCAGCAGTCCCCCAGCACCACCTTCTGGATTTGACCAATCAAGTAAGAATGAAAACACTGAAGCACTCCCAACCCAACTAGCCCATCCAGGAAGATGCCATGGATGCTTGGTTTGAAACCTAGCAAGATGTTCAGGAGAACTGGTTGGGATTCACCTCCCTGTCACGTTCCTGGTAAACGCCATAGGACAAGCAGCAGTCCCCCAGCACCACCTTCTGGATTTGACCAGTCAAGTAAGAGTGAAACCACCAAGCACTCCCATCCCAGCCAGCCTATTCTGAAAGATGCCATGACACGTATTTCGACGGGAGACCTCCAGAGAATACCAGGGAGGCCAGAGGCAGGCTATCAAGCCACTTCTCTGAATGTCCTGTGTCCCAGTAGGAGTCACCAGAGGTCACCATGACTTCCAGGCATGGGCGCATGTGCACACACACACGAACACACAGTGCAAAAATACCAAAAAAAGAAAAAAGAAAAGATGCCATGGATGACTGCTTCAAAGATGTTCAGGAGAATCAGTAGGAACTCACTTCCCCCTGTCACTTTCCTGACGAAGGTCATCAGTCATGGTGAT